TAACTCCTTGAGGTATGCTACTCTAAATACAACTCAAAATACGAAAAAAGACAGTCTTCGCTCTCTGTGCCATATATACAATTTATTTCTCTCCTCATCCCATTTTCAAAGGTGGGTGGGTGTTATTATTTCTTACGAATTTCTTCATAAAGCATTTCCAATATCTTTTTTTTTAATTCTCACATCCTTACTCTGCTCCTTCTAAAAATTTTTTGCCACCCTTAGAGTGCCTTTTAATAACGACTCCACTCAAATCAAATAGAGCTGGCTGAAGCGAGAAAAAAAAAAAAAAAAAAAAAAAAACATTGGGAAATCGGGAAAGGGAATGGTAAAGTGGATGCTGTATTTTGTTCGTAAAATGGGAAGGGGAGTTAAGGAAATTTTTTTTAATATCGCGCCGCAGCAGGAATGCAATTTTGAGTTGTCAATCTAAGTTGTAGCCCAATGAGTCAAATATATGTTGAGAGCTAAAAGAAAGAGGGGATATAAGGAAGAGGGGAAGGAATATCTCTAAGGATGTTTTTATTCCACGAAAAAAGTCTCATGCTTTTTCTTAAGGGACAAAAAAGGAACAAAGGAGAGTAAGGAACCAAGGAGAAGTAAGGATAAAACTTAACTCCCACAAATGTTGGATGGTTCCGGAACGGGAAAGAAAGAAGGGAAGAATATTTTTGAGTGACAAACAAAAATATAGGAATAAATAACTAAGGCGGGCCAGGAGAAACATTGGGATATGGGAAGGAAGATGGGATCCCCTTTTAATATTGCAGGCATATTGTCCTTCACAGGGGGAGGTATGGGGATATTTTTTGGTTTTTAGTCATAAATTTGAGTTGAGACAATCTGAGCATAAGACAAGAACAACAAGGAGTATATTATTATTGGGAAGAAAAAAGAGAACCCTCTCTTTGTACCAGAACCTTTGAATCCCAAGTCGGGGGAAAGGAGATATTTTGCTATGGGCTCATATATTTGAGTTTGGAACGTTTTGAGATTATTTTTTTTTACACAAATCGAGTTCAGACAAGAACCTGTACTAAAATGTAACAAAACTTACCAAACTTATTTGAAAAGATTTGTTTTAGGATAATTCCGAGTCTGACCCTTGAGTTTTCTCGTACGAAGGAATTTAAATGTTATAGTACAGGATAAGCATTTTACTCAAAGTGTGGAATTAAAAAAAAAAAAAAAAAACAATTAACTCTATCCTGGCGGGATTTTTATAAATGTTATATTAACATTTTCAAACACAAAAAAAGGAAAGAGTAGATACCCTTCTATACAAAATTACTTAAAATTTCCAATATTATTGGAGAAATTCTTTAAGATTTAGAAATTATAAATATCGAATTTTTTTAAATCACTTGCTGCTATTTTTCTGAAATGTAGCCCTGATGGTCTTTATTCCTAACGGTTTGTTTACATTTAATCTATAGGGTGATATGAAAAAAACTACAATCAACTTCAGACTGCTGTCATTTCTAAGCCACTCTTCCGACAGCTATTAAAATTATTCCAGTGACAGCTCATTATATTGTTTACAAACGTACAAAAGCATTTTGGTGAGAATTTTCCAGAAAAAAGTTATTCGTGATGGAATTCAAGCGTGATAGTGTGATTTCTTTATATTTGACTGGAAAACCACAACCACAAGTGGCTATCGTTAGAGTACTCCAGCATTTAAATGTAAATAAGAAGAAAACAGCAACATCAGTAAAACTGGTTCGAAAAGTAAAGAAGCGACTTAATCGAAACCCGCGTCGCAGTGGCCGAAAAATGGCTCGTGAGCTGAACATATTGCAATATTCCATTCGACAAATATTGAAAAATGAGCTCGGGGTAAAGCCATTGAAATTCCAAAAAGTGCAAGAACTTAAACTGCAACAGAAAGAAAATAGCTAAAAGAGCTAAAGAGTTGTTTCGCTTGGCCGAAAGTGGTGAACTGTCGAACTGCAGATTGTAAACAAACAAAATAATCGTGTTTACTTGCCAAAGAGGTCAGCTGTAAATATGCACCTTCGGTTGGCCACCAGAACTCAAGCGCCGGCCATGGTGATGGTGTGGGCCGCCATAACAGCTTATGGTCGCTCTCCGCTCGTATTAATCGAACGTGGCATCAGAATTAATGCCGAATATTATCGCGAAAATATACTGGAGGGTGTATTATAGCCTTGGGCACGCAAACATTTTGGCCGCAGACCTTGGACATTCCAAACAGGACTCAGCACCATAGCACGCAGCACGCACCACCCAAGAATGGTTACAAAATGAGGTTCCTCGCTTCATTTCCAGCCCACAATGGCCACCAAAATCTCCGGATACCAATCCGTTGGACTATTGTGTCCGGGTAATTTTGGAAAGCAAGGCTGGCACTAAAAAATACCAAGGTGTCGATCACCCCAAGCAAGCGCTTCGTCGGTAATGGACCAAAATACCTCAGAGCAACATTCGAGCGGCGTGTGACGATTTCATTGTCCGTTTGAAGGCCATAATTCTTGCCAAAGGTGACCAATTCGAACCAATCTAAACTTATTCAAAAATTTGATCCTATTTCCCACATTTTTTGCTTTCATTCAATAAAATTAAAAAAAAATGTAAAAATATAGGGGTTATACGAAGACCTAGACCTGCATAGCCAATTTACTGAAACAGGCTGTAGTACCCATTAGGAACTTCATGAAAATAACGAGTTTAGGGAGGTTATGCCTAAACGTGGCCCTATATCAAAACCAAAATTTCTGTAGACCAAAGACACATCTGAGTAAAATTTTATCAGCCTACTTCAATTCACTCGGAAGCTAGAGCGATTTCCATAATCGCTAAATCGACATAGAATTTTATGCTGATCAAGAATATATATACTTTGTGGGGTTTAAAATGTATATTTCGAGGTGTTACAAACGGAATGACAAACTTAATATACCCTCCATACTATGGTGGAGGGTATAACAAGATACAAAAACAACAAGTTAAAATAGAACAGATGTATACCCTCAGTTCGCACACTTAGTACACATTTCCAAAATTACCTTTATATATTAAACTTACTTTCCAACCTTGATTTTTCCTTTCCTGCACTCCATTAAGTCATGTTCAGAATTCCATCTCATTCCATATATCCAATACAAAGTATTCAATTTTTTGTTCTTCTCGTATCCTTTTAGTACGAATGTCCTGTCCTATCACACGCCTATATACCAAGACTGATGCTTGTGCAAAAGTTTCACCTTAGCACCTACAAAATATACATATTCTTGATCAGCGTACAATTCTAAGTAGTTACGCTATATTTCGAACTAATTGAGATAGGTAAACTGAAAGTAGGCCGTAAATTTGTAAAAAAAAATAAAATTACAAATATTCCCATTGTATTGAGTATTTTGACAATTTATGCCACAATTACTTGCAGATTTTTTTCTCTAAATTCTGTATTTAGAGTTCGAAAGGAGTTTTCCACGTTTTCCTGTAGCTATAATATTTAGTAACGGTTCTTCCCGAAATTTAGTGTTCTAAATATTTCAGCAACATTCCACAAAATTAGGCATTAAAAGTTTGTTATGGAATCTACTCCCTCGAGTCTGTATAAGTCCAGGTTCTCTTACAGCCCACAAATAACTGTATCTTCTGAAATTTGGCAGTTTAAAGTTATGTGTTTTGAGTTCGTAACCTTTCGTTTATTTTTCCGACCACTTACAAAAACTATGCCACTTTAGGTTCCTTTTAGAATTTTGTGTACCTCTAAATATGGTATTAAATCTCCAAAATACTTTTTTGTTTATAATGGCCAGTGTTTCCAACGCACGAATTTTACAAAACCACTTTTTGCGGACTTATATGCAACGCAACATCAGAGCTTTAGCTTCTTTCCATTATTTAGAACTATCGTATCGCAATTTGGCATTTTATGAGCTTCATGAATATGTTTAAAATTTTGACCTTTTGTGGGGAGGTTCCGGAAGGAGTGGACCGATTTATTCGATCTTCGCACCTGACCTTGGGTTAATAAAAATATTGTGATGTGTGCAATTTGAAGACAATCGGACTCTTACATCTTACATTTTATAATGGTCATAATTTTTCAAATTGTTAACCCTTTTTTGGGGGGAGCTATTTGATGGAGTGTACTGATACTGTCCATTTTCGCACCTGACCTAGCGCTGATGTAAATATTAGGATTCGGGTTATCCTTTCTTTTTCTGTATTTTTTTTTTTTTTTTTGAAATGGTCGATCTTTTGTGGGGGAGTTACCAGAGGAAGTGAACCGAAACTGCCCATTTCCGAACTCCATCCAAGTTTGATAATATATACCCTCTCTAGCCATATTGCTGGGGGTATAATTAATTATCAGTCATGTTGTCATCATATCCTATTTAAGGAGACCATGATATTGGTTCGTAGGACCAATTTACGAAGCTCAGTTTCAGTCCATCCACGAAAGTCTCATTCTCTTACTCGAACATAAAATTGTGAGAAAGTGTCAAGAAAAAAACACAATTGAGCTTTCTCTCAAGACAGTTTGAGTTGCAAAAGGCAAAAAAAAAAAAACACATTCTTACTCATCTCTCGATGAGTTTTACGTTCCATAAGGGGGTGGTGTTTCCTTTCCACTCAAATATCATTTTCTTCGGCCTTGTTGTTTAGCGGAACTGGACCATTTGAGTTATTTAACGTGATGGCTGTGAGTGTTGTTGTTTTTTTTGTCGTTGGAAAAAACAATCCTTAAGAAAATTGTCCTGACGCTCTCTTCGTTGCCACCTTCAAATAATTGTGTTTACGAACTCATTCATAAACAGGGAGAGCATAATGGCGCTGGAATATCGACTCATCATTTTGGGGTTTGTTTTTTTTTTTCTTTCACTTTTTCTTTTTCTTAGAAAGCTCTAGATATTTGTTGTCCTGTGTTGGGTTACGGGTGCGGTATTGAGCACACCACAAGAGTAAACCACTGCTACTGGTTCTCGCGGTTCTGTGTTAAGTCAAAAGACGCAAAAAAAAAAAAAAAGAAATGCCAAGGAAGGAAAAGATTTTTTCCTTTGCTTTGAATGCTGAAGGAGACCAACTTTTTTTGGTGGCAGACGGCCAAGGCAGAGAGCTTGCCGCTGATAAGTGGAAATGAAGGTGTTGTTGGCATTGGTGGTATCGCTATTAGACATCTCTATGCATACTCAGACAGATGTATGGAAGGATGACTGGACGGACGAGCGAGCGGGCGTAAAGGATATCCAATGAATGGGGCGTTATTATGCTAAAAATGCTGTCGTCATCAAACTCAGCAGTTGGATAGCCGAGAGAGCGAGAGGGAGGCTGTTATCCAAAAAATGGTGATGACAATATGCTGCATGCCAGGCAGGCAGCCAGCAGTACGGCAGTTGGTGGGGCGCAACAGCCATGGTTTGGGTAAGTTGTTATCACACGCTTGCCATATGAATGGCTGTTTTTTGTTGTCGTTAAAAGCTTAAGCAGTTCTTGCTTCGTTTTATTCTTTTTCTAGCCAGGCCATACATGTATGGTTGCGTGTTGTCGCCTTAACCCCAAATGTTTGTAAAGGCGTTCAGTTTCGTTTCGTTTTGTTTTTTTTTTTTTCAGTTTGATTCGTCTTCTGCATTTTCTTCTAGATACGTCGTTTTTCTAACCACCTCCATCAGCAGCATCATCGTAACCATCATCATCTTCATCATTGGCAACGGCGACGGCGGTGGCAGTGATGACGACGACGTCGTAGTCGTCTTCTTCTTATTCACCAAACCTAACACCAATACCAGACCACCACCACCACCAACAACAACAAACCAACCAGTCAACCAACCAACCAACAACAACAGTTGCTCACAAGTGTTGCTGGCACAACAGTAGCTGCTGCAACATCAACAACAACACAACCATAACCATTAACAATTTTGTTTTGTTTTTTTTTTTTTCTTGGCCATATCGCCTTGCCACCGACGACGACGACGACGTCGTTTTGCGTCGTCAACATTTTGTGTGATATTTTTGTCGTATTTGTGGTCCTCATATAGTGGTCGCGTTCATGTTTTACCGCAAAAACCTCAACGAATCGAAAATTTATATAACCGAGTTTTAATACCAACGCAACATTTGCATCGATCGCCAGAAGGATTAGATTTTTTTTGCGTGCAAAGTCCGATAAAAGTAATTTGAAGTGAAGTGAACATAACGGCCGAATCGTTTTGAAATTAATAAAAAAATAAATAATTTAATTTAAATATCAGATAATGAAATTGTGATTTTTTTTGGAGAATTAAAAAATTATATGTGCTTGTGAGAGAAGAAGAAAAATAAAATAAAATATTAAATAAAATATATAAAAATAACGAAAAATAATTTCTTGGAATGGAGTATAATTTTTAATTAAAAGGTTCAATGTTATATATTTTTTTTTATTAAAAAACAATAATATTAAAATAAAAAATATAATACAAAAATTAATATTGTATTTATGAAACGAAAGGCTTTTTATGGAGTGAAGTGGACAAATTCCAATTTGAAAAAAAAGAGAAACCGCAAACGTCGTCTGTGAGGTATTGGTAAACTACATTCACGAAAAACATTGTCCGAACTATGAATTGAATAGGATATGTGGTATCACCGAAATTCTTTTCCCCAAAATAAATGGTTTATATCGGTCCGAGGAAGTGAAAGAAATTAGAATGTCTGCATTTATCATAACTCCACTATAACGTTACCGCCACAATTAAGGTGTTTTGGTTGTTTTAATCATAGTTTTCAACCGTATTTTCTGTAGGGATAGTCCTAATCAATGTCTATGTTTTGGTATAACATTAGAAATACTCAATCCAGCATGAAACTTTTCTTCGGGATAGGCATATACATGCCTCGACATGTGTAATTTTCAATATTAACAGTTTAAAAAGCAGCTAAGTTTTTTGTACCATTTTTTTATATCCTCCACCATTTGGAAGAAACTTGAAAATTTTAAAATAAAAAAATTAGTGGAAAAACATCGTTTAAATGAAAACCTTTATATGGGGATTATACGAAGACGTGGCCCTGCATAAGTAATTTGTGTCACAGGCTGTAGTAACTGATCTGAACTTTATATACGAAATTTGAAACTATTCCGGTGAATAATGTCGTAAAAATCATCAAAATACCGAGTATCGGGAGGAACCGTTATATAGGGGTAGACAATTCTCTTCAGTGGGTAATGTACTCACAAGGAACTCCTTTTGTGACTTTGAAAAATTTGGCTAAAATCAAAATACCGATTTTCGGGGGTCAGTTATATGGGGGCTATACGATATCGTGGACCTATATAGATATTTCTCTTTTAGGGGATAAAGTACTCACAAGGAACTTCTTGTGAGAATTTTCAGAAAACTGCATTGAAAAATGTTGCTAAAATCATGAAAATACCGAATGCAATACCGTTATATAGGGTATATATGATATCGTGGATCTATATACACAATTATCTTCAGGGGGTAATGTACTCACAGGGAACTCCTTTTGGGACTTTTAAGACACTTCAATTGAAAATTTTGGCTGAAATCGAAATACCGAATGTCGGGGAGTTCCTTTATATGGGGGCTATAAGATATCGTGGACCTATATAGATATTTCTCTTTTAGGGGATAAAGTACTCACAAGGAACTTCTTGTAAGAATTTTCAGACAACTGCATTGAAAAAAGTGGCTAAAATCATCAAAATGCCGAATATCGGAGGGTTCTGTTGTATCGGGGCTGTACGATATCTTGGACCGATATAGCTCATCTTCGAACATAAATTGCCTGCAGACAAAATACTGATATCTGCAAAATTATACCTTCCTATCTTAATTCATTTTAAATGTAGCGTGATTGCAACAGACGGACGGACGGACAGGGCTAAATCGTCTTAGAATTTTACGCTGATCAAGAATATATATACTTTGTTATGTCTAAAATGATTATTTCGATGAGTTACAAACGGAATAACGAACTTAATATACCCTCCATACTATGTATGGTGGAGAGTATAAAAACATTTGGACTTTGAAAGTATTGAAGTAAACGATTTCTACTTTAGATACAATATAATATTCACACGGGTTTCTAAAAGAACCACGAAATAAACATCAGACAGTATCGTTTCATCTAAGAGTTCTCTGAAAAATATCCCCACCAGAAAAAAAACATTCGATAAGGTTTTCTCTGAATGTATAGCTTATATTGTTTCAAAGATGTAGAAAAAAATTAAAAATCGTTCACAGTTGTGCTCATTGGATAATAAAATAATTTTTAGAAGATTAAGCTCTACATAGTCTTTTTAGCATTGATTTAATTAATTGAAATAGTTAAAACCCCTAATAGCCAGGAACAGACATGACAATTTTCTACACATTTTTATACCTTTCATAACCATATAATTGTACCCCATATAATTGTACCTCCCAATATTTGGTATCATTATTTAACCGAATTTTCTTAAAGTTTTCTGACAGATCCACATTTCCCCATTATCTCATATAGAATACTTACGATATTCGGTATTTGGATGATTTCACCCACATTATTTAACGTAATTTTTCGTGTCTACGTTTTCGTATAGTCCAATTCAACATTACCCCAATGTATTTGGATGATTATATAGACACATTTTTCAACCGAATTTTCTCATGGGCCCAATAGTTTTTCAATAATTGCATGATTTTTTGACAAATGTTTCAAGAGAATTTTTTGAAGTTCGGTATTTGGAGTTTTAAATAGATACCATCTTCTCTGACAGATAATTGCCTTGTTCTCTCTCTCTCTCTCTCTCTCTCCCATTATAAAACAATGCATTTTTAATGGATTGCTTGATTGTTGTATTTTTAAGTTCGTATTGGATACAATCCCCTCTATATACGCCAGCATAACTGTACCTCCCGATATTTGTTATTTTTATGATCTTAGCAATATTTTTTACTGTTTATTTTTATTCATATTATGTTCCCAATAACAATTATAGCATATACTGCTCAAATAGTGATTGATGGCACTTATAGACATATTTTAAAAAGTCTAACTTTCCATAGCTATCAATTGTCATAGAAAACATGTATCTTTAAAATTTGACGAAGTCAGTTTTAGTGTGTTTGGAGTCGATCTAGTCAAGTCCGTCCGAGCGCACAATTAATCCTGAATTAATCCCGACTTTGCAATTTTTGGTGCATCTGATTAATATATCCTCGTAGATGGACAATATCGGTCCACTCCTTCCAGTTCCTCCTCCTAAGGGTCAAAATTTTCACAGAAAATAATTTACATTATAGAACCGACAAGTAAAGAAACAGCAAGTTCGGCTGTATGTTGAACACCCTCCACCATTGGGAAGAAATTTTCAAAAAAAGAATTGAAAAATGCTGCTACTGGGTCAATAATATAGAGAGGCAGCGTTATGTGGGGTCTATCCGAAGACCTGGGCATGCATATGAAATTTTCTGTTATAGGATGTACTAGCCATTTGGAACTTCAAATACTAAAATTTATAAAACTCCAGTGAAAGTCATTAAAATACTCATATTTGATAAAATTCAAAATTTCAGTGAATAAAGTCGCTAAAATCATCAAAATACCGAATATTCGGCGGTACACTTATATGGGGACCATATCAAAACTTAGACCTACATTGACAGTTCTATGCAAAGATGTTTCTTAGATAATGGGAATATATGCTACCAATTTATAGCAAATTTGAGTTAAAACTGTGACTAAAGCAGCAAAACGTGGACATATAAAGCCCATTCAAAACCAAGAGTCGTGCAGAACAAACTCACATCTGAGTACAATTTTAACAACCTACTTCATTTCATTCGAATTTTATTTCTGATCAAGAATATATAAATTAAGCGTTATGCTTTGAGTGTATATTTTGAGTGGTGTACGCGTATTGCACGTCGAAGCTCGCCGCAGCATTGGTATCTTTCCACTAGCCTTTAGCAAGCCTCCGACCCCATCCAGTAATTGTTTTTGGATAAAGTTCGTGAATACAAACAAAAAAGCCCGGTTAGCTCAATCGGTACTGCATGAGGCTCTTAAACCTAGGGTCGTGGATTCGTGCCCCACGTTGGGCGTCAATTAAGCGTTATGCTTTGATTATGATTAGTATATGTGTGTGAGTGGGGTCTAAAAAGTATATTTCGAGAAGTTAGAAACAGGATGACAAATTTGATATACCCTCTATACTATGGTAAAAAAGGATAATTCAATTTTGCACAAACTTGCAAATCCAAATATTTGTATGACACTGATACAAGATGCGAACATTCACAACATAGGCCCTACTAAGGGGTCAAATTTTTGAATAACCAAAACGCTCATAAAATGCGATATATGTTTCCGCTTCTCTTTAAATTTCGCACATTGCAATATTTTTATTAACACAAGATCAGAAGTGAATATGACACGTATTATCCTATCCCTTCTGGTATCTTCCACACAAAGGGTCACAATTTTCAATTGGTATAATTAGAATATAGAATTACAAAAACAGACGCTACCATTTTTTCATACACAGAAGTCAACTTCGATTTTTAGACTTTTCAATAACAAGAATCAATTAAACAGTTAGAAGAGAGTCGGCTGAAGTATTCTGGTAATACCCAAAAACGTACGAATACACACCGACTGAAATATGGGCTAAGTTGATGTTTCAGAAATTCGTCTGCCTATAAAAATGAATCTACAGATCGAGATGGCAGTACACATATTTCGAAACTGGACTTCAAACAGCTATTTGCGGGGAAATTAACTGATAAAAAAGCAATCCAATCAGTTTTATGTAAATTGTGTTGGCAGTGATATCTCAAATGTTCAGTAGGGTTCCTTGTTTCCTTGTTTATTGGTTATATTGCCACAGTTTTTTTTCTTTTTGGTAGATGTCATCAGTTTTAAAACTTTTAATTTCTAATACATTCTCAAAAACAAAAATAAATTCACAATTAAATTCAAATCATTTTCAAATTAACTTGTGGCCGAAAATAGTTCAATTTGTATTGGCCACCAGGAACAAGAACAAAAACAACGGCGACATCTAATTTAAATACAAATCATCTTTAATCTGAGTTCATTTCTATTGGTTAGCAAATAATTAACTCTTAGAATGGATGGTTTTTTAAAACCTTTATTTGTATTAGTGTGTGTGTGTAGGTGCGTTGGTGAATTTTGTAAATATATACATAGATGTTATAAATATATTAAAGTGTATGTGTGGGTGTGTGTGTTTGTATTAAGTGGCTGC